CTCTCCTTGCTCTCTGTTCTATATATTTTCTCATTCCATTTGGTGCTTGGCTGAGTTCTTTATCTCTTCATTTGATGTTTTAGGGTTTCAGGATTGTTGTTTTCTCTGTTCTGCTTAGTTTTTCAGATCTTTGCTGTGGAGGGACGGCGTGGTGCTTCTGCCTAGAGTGCCATTTTGCCGGAAGTCCTATTTTATTGTACTTTAGATGAAGGTTTACAGAACAAAACTTGCTTCTCATTAAACAATTTTACACATATTGTTTTGTGCATTTTTTACCAACCCCACAACATGTCAACACTCTTCCTTCTGGCTCTTGGTTCCCTATTTACCAGCTTTCCAGCTCCCTCTTGCCTTCTAGTCCTTGCCCCTGGGATGGTGTGTACCTTTAGTCTCATTTTTTTTTTTTAATGGGCCTGTCTAATCTTTGGATGAAGGGTGAACCTCAGGAGTGACTTCATTACTGAGTTAAAAGGGTGTCCAGGGTCCATACTCTTGCAGTTTCTCCAGTCTCTTGTCAGGCCAGTAAGTCTGGCCTTTTTTGTGAGTTAGAATTTTGTTCTACTTTTTTCTCCAGCTCTGTCTGGGACCTTCTATTGTGATCCCTGTCAGAGCAGTCAGTGGTGGTAGCCGAGCACCATCTAGTTGTGCTGGACTCATTCTGGTGAAGGCTGTGGTAGTTGTGGTCCGTTAGTCCTTTGGACAAATCTTTCCCTTGTGTCTTTGGTTTTCTTCACTCTCCCTTGCTCCAGACTGTGTAAGACCAGTGGAGTATCTCAGATGGCCACTCACAAGCTTTTAAGACCCCAGATACTACTCACCAAAGTAGAATGTACAACATTTTCTGTATGAATTATGTTATGCCAGTTGAGCTAGATATTCTCCGAGGCCATGATCCCCACAGCCCTCAGCCCAGTAATTCAGTCCCTTAGGGAGTTTGGATGTGTCTATGGAGCTTCCATGACCTTGCCTTGGACAAGTTGTGCTGGCTTCCCCGGTATTGTGTACTGTCGTACCCTTCACCAAAGTTACTACTTATCTATTGTCTATTTAGTGTTTTTCCATCCCCATCCCCCCACCCCCACCCCTGGAATCATCAAAGATTGTTTCTTTTTCTTTGTAAACCTTTTCATGAGTTTTTATAGTAGTGGTCTCATACAATATTTGTCCTTTTTTGATTGACTTATTTCACTCATCATAATGCCTTCCAGATTCATCCATGTTGTGAGCTGCTTCGCAGATTCAACAGATGTATATTTTTTAATGAAAAATTTTAAAGGGTTTTTAAAAAAAACTCATACTGTTATCATAAAATACAAAAACAAATTGGCAATTTGGCCTATGCCTATGTAAGTTAAAAAATACTATTAGCAATTCACTACCTAACATGGTAAGCGTCCACTGCAGTGCAATAGTAGTCATTGCCCAAGTCTGTTTTGTGGTTTTAAACACTATGCCTTAATGCTAGCCATTAGGTTGTGTTTTGTGGAGCAACACAAAAGCATATCACAGCAATGCCACATACAAAACAGGTTAACAGAACTAATACCCAGATTGGTAGCTTGTGTAAATCTTCAAGATGAAATACATCAAAGGAAAGTCACATTTGTATTCTTTTATTTAAAAAAGCTTTGTAATTAAACACACATTTTCTCCTTATAAGCAACTCTCCATATCATTTCTGAATTAACTAGAGAAAACCTCTTCTCCAACAGAAAGGAGAGCTTTCTATAGTAAAACATTGAGTCATCTCCTGAGATCCCAAGATGTGCACCAGATACTGTTTAGCCAGAAGGGCAACTCTAATTTTAGTCTTAATTAGGGTGCAAAGACATCAGTGAATAAGAACCATCCATATCATTTGAAGCATTTATTATTCTTTGTACTGTTCTTTCAGGTTCTCGCAGAGGTACATTTATAGATTTAGAAAGATTAAAGAAAGCCACTCTAGAAACAAATCCTCCAATTACAGGTCATCCAAGTATCCTAGTAGAAATACTTAGACTAGGGTTTAAGAGATAAAGAAAAGGGTCACTCAATTCCGTTGCTTCTTCCCTTCTCATGGAAGAAACAATTTCTTGTTCTTTCAAGATAATTTTGAATAAATTAAGAGCACTAGCAACTATTTATCAAACTATAAACAATATGTAAACTAGCTTCAAAATCCAATTAACTACACAAATGTTCACAGCAGCATTATTCAAAAAGGGCAAACAACCTAAACATAAATAAACTTATGAAGGGATAGAAATGTAGGATATCCATATAATCGAATATTATTCACCAATAAAAAAGATTGACATACTGATACATGCTATAACATGGATAAACCGTGAAGACATTATGCTAAGTGAAAGAAGTTGGTCACAAAAGCCTGTATGTTGTATGATTCCATTTACGTGAAATGTCCAAAAAAGAAAAAACAAAAACAAAACCTCTTGCCTTCAAGTCAATTCCAACCCATAGCAACCCTATAGGACAGACTAGAACTGCCCCATTAGAGTTTCCAAGGAGCAGGCTGATGAATTTGAACTGCCAACGTTTTCGTTAGCAGCCAAGCTCTTAACCACTACACCACCAGGGCTCTGTGAAATATATAAAATAGGCAAATTCGCAGAGACAAAAAGTAGATTAGTGGTTGCCTAGGGCAGTGGGTAGAAGGGAATGGAGACGGTCTGCTAATGGGTATGGGGTTTCTAACATTAGATTGTGGTGCTGTTTGCACAACTCTGTGAATATACTAAAAACTACTGAACTACAAGCTACAAATGGGTGATTTTTTAATAATTTATTTTATTTTTTATTGTTGAGAATACACCAATTCAACAATTTCTGCATGCACAATTAAGTGACATTGATTACAGTCTGAGTTGTGCAACCATTCTCACCCTTCTTTTCTGAGTTGTTCCTCCCCCATTAACATAAACTCACTGCCCCCTAAGTTTCCTATCTTTCAAGTTGCTGTTGTCAATTTGATCCCATATAGACAGTTCTTAAAAGAAGACAATGTTCATACATGCTTTAGTAGTTAAGCTAAACTATTATTTGGGTTTAAGAAGACTTCAGGGGATATTTTGGGTTTAAGGTCTAAAGATTATCTCAGGGAAATAGTTTCAGGAGTTCATCCAGCCTCCATGGCTCCAGAAAATCTGGATTCCATGAGAATTTGAAATTCTGCTCTGTATTTTCACCTTTTGATCAGGATTCTTTTACAGAATCTTTGATCAGAATGTTTAGTAGCCAGGCAATATTCAGTTCTTCCGGTCTCATGGCAAAGGGGGCAGTTGTTCATGAAGGCAATTAGCCACACATTCCATATCCTTTCCCTATTCCTAACTCTCCTTCTTCCTCTGTTGTTCCAGATGAATAGAGACCAATTGTTGTACCCTAGATGGCCGCTTGCAAGCTTTTGAGACCCCAGGCACTATGCTTCAAACTAGGAGGTAGAACAGAAGCACTAAACATATTAGGCCAATTAGCTGGGATGTCCCATGAAACCATGACCCGAAACCTCCAAACCAAGAAACCAAATTCCAAGAAGTTATTGGCTGGACATAAGCAGACTCAGCAGCTGCTCTTTTGTTGTTGTTGTTGCTGTAAATATATCTATCACACAACTTTTTCCAATTCAACTTTTTACAGGTGTAAATGAAACAATTTTACAGTGTATGAAACATATCTCAATATAGCTATAAAGAAAAAAGACCTCATTACTAGTTGTTTGGTTTTAGAAAATAAATGTTCAAATGCAAGTTTAATTATGAATGAAAAAACCTATATTAATGTAACTATTAGACAAAAAATTCAATTATCTAAAAGTTCTCCAGTTAAATAGATTTTAAACCCAGTTATGTCTTCCAAAAAAATCATATTTGTACCTAACAGTCAAAAGTTCCAGATGCATAACATTTTGTTTTCATTAAGATCATAATATAAATGTTTTATAACCCTTGACAGCTATTGTCAAATATATCTGTGATTAATCTGTGGAATTGCAAAATTCACTTTCTAGTGATTTCACATGTAGACATACTGAGGTAGCTGGAAAAAGCTCATCTCTATATACTTACACAGTAATTGCATCAGAGAGTTTAGAGTAGTTCTTTTGAAGGCTCAGTCTAAGAGTAATTGAAAAGGCTGTAACAAGAAAGAACTCTTCAGAAAACAGGGTTTGGAATTCGTCGAGTGGGTTCTAGCTGGATTAGAATTACCTGTGGCACTTAGAGACTCCCATCCCCTATTTATTGTCAGTCTGAAGAGGTGGAGCCCAGAAACACAGCAAAGGGAATTACATTCCTGGTATTTACCACTTAGGGGCCCCTAGGTGGTGCAAACGGTTAACATGCTCAGCTGCTAACATAAAGGCTGGAGGTTAGCATCCGGCCAGAGGTATCTTGGAAGAAAGGCGTGGTGATCTACTTCCAAAAAATCAGCTACTGAAAACCCTATGGAACATAGTTCTGCTCTGACACACATAGGGTCACCATGAGTCAGAGTCAGCAACTGGTGGTAGTACTGTGGAGTTACCATTTATCTCACTAAAATGAGGGCAATAAGAATAATAGAGGTGCTACCCTTTAATAGTTAGATCGTCCTTGATATTCTCAATTTCCTACAGATTTTCATACAGAAAAACAAGAAGTTATAAATCTTGAGGTAAGAAGCATTAAAATTTTTTGAACATTATGAACATGGGATTAATATACCAAGCTTTTTTTATGTTTTGATGGGATACTTTTAAATTAGGATATTATCTTTGAAATTCTTTAAAATGTAATCTTTGGTCTCCAGTCAAGAGAATAATGGCGTTAGGAGTCACATTTAATTAAATTTAATTAATACAAATGTCACATACTTTCTTCTTCCCAAAAAATGGTAACTTCATCTTAATAAAGAAATGGAAACTATTGTCTTCATTCTGTTATATGTATATTTGTGTAAGATTAGGCAAATAGCAAAGATTTTAAAGTCCTACCACCAAACTTAAAGCATTTTTAAAATGCTTAATGCCAACTACATTCTCCATTTAGCAGTTTAATATGTGCTGCCAAAGTTAAGTACAATTAGTCCTTCAAGTTCAAATAATTTAGGTTCCTTGGGGTCTACAACATAATTAACTTTATAGTTTTCCCTTGACAGCTGTCCAGGATACAGATGTTCTTCCTTTTGGTGACTTCAGTTAGCTTGGGCAACCCTGGTGTCAGAACCCTGGAAGTTCAACATCTTCATCACCAATTCTGGAAGATCAAAATTGTGTTTCCACCCCCAGTCCTTCCGAGCATTGCTGTCATCAAAGTTCACTGGCCAACTATCCGCTAGGAAAAGATATGGAAGAGTAGCTTAAGTTAGAGGAGTCTCTTGGTGGCACAAACAGTTAAGCGCTCAACCACTAGTCTAAAGATTGGCAGTTCAAACCCACCCACAGGTGTCTCGGAAGACAGGCTTGGCAATCTGCTTCTGAAAGATTAGTCTTGAAAACCCTACGGAGCAGTTCTATTCTGCACACATGGGGTCGCCATGAGTTGGAATAGACTTGATGGCAACTAACAGTAACAACAACAAACTTAAGTTAGCCGGGCTGTAGATTTACAAAAAGGTCTAGAACATTTTATATAAAGGTTTATCAGAGTACCAAAAAGGAAATTCCCTCTCTGAGTAGAACAGAGCTGCTGTTACATGCATATAATGGTCTTCTTAGATTAAAAAAATGTATTACACATCTACTGCTAGACACTGTGAATTTTCACAAATTATTAAAATCTCATACAATCTTGTAAGGTAGGGCTCTTATTTTATAGATTAGGAAATATACTCAGAAAAGTGTTCAAGGTCATAAAGTGGTAGAATCTCAGTATTTGAAAACCCAGAAATGTTTTCATATTACCCCAATTGCTTCCATTTCTGCTTGCCCTGTGTTTAAGCTATAAAGAGGGTGAAAGGCTAACAAACTGTTTATTTGGAATGAAATAATCTCACCCACTTTAGACATCATTCTGCAAAATCAGAGCATCTGCTGTCTTTGGCTCATTTCAGGGAAGGATGGGTCCCATGCTCACCCACGCTTTCCATGGGCCCTAACACATTCTGGAGAAAGAGCTGTGTTCTACTTATCCTGTCACCATTTATACCCTCAAAGGACTCACAGTGAAGGCCAAAGCTTAATTTGGGTTTTCAGGCAGTCTGCAATGATGTACCAACCTATGGCCTGTAGAACAGAATCCACGTTGTATGTGATCTGGAATTCCGGTACATGCTTGAGAACCTCTTGGGCCAGATCCCTGGGGGTGAAGCTCACGGCATTGATGTTGTACGTTCTCATAGAGAGAGACTCTGCTGGGGCCTCCATGACTTCCAGGGTGGCCCTGAGGCAGTCATCAATATACATCATTGGGAGTCTCGTGTTCGGTTTCAGGTTGCACTCAAATTTGCCATTCTTTGTGGCATCATGGAAAATCTGGACTGCATAGTCTGAAAGAAAATTCTGCCTGTGGGTTTTTTACACCAAAATAATGAACAAAACCTTTGGATTAAGAATCCTCTTGGATTCCTTGAAAGGGTCTCAGGGATCCCCAGCCCACACTTTGAGAACTACTTTATTAAGGTATAAGCTTTTAAAAAGTAATCAAAACCAAAGCTTCCTTTAAAATCCCTCAGATTTTGTTAAGTATTTTTTATATTGTATCTCAGGACCCCTGGTACAGGATTTGCTGAATATAATGTGTGTTGAATCAAAAAAAAAATGTTTATTTTCCTTTATAGTGTACAGTGAATAGAGATCATTTTAATAGCACATCTTTGTAATAAGAAACAAAGGCTGTATCAAAGACAAGAGGCTGCTTCTTGTTTGGTGTCTTCCTAAATTATTAGTAAATTTGTTCTCAAATATTATATGTGTGATTTCAACATTGTGGTTGGCAAATCTCGCTGGATGTGCAAACACAGACATCTGTTGCCCTTAGCAAATTTAAGTCAGTAGGGTTCAATGAGCATCTCAGATGCATGTCCTGGAGAGGATTTGAAGTTTCTTGCCAAGACATGGGTAAAAGAGAGCAGATTCATTCACCATGAAAGACTTCCTAGCAATGAAAAGGCCTATTTTATTATATACAGAAGAAAAAAAAAAGAACATTTACCAGTTGTTCCTCCTCCAGGTTGAGAGTTGGCTGAAATGATTCCAGGATATCTCAGGCATCAAAAATCTAACCCATATTGATGAAAATAGTACTATGAAAAAGATAAAACTTATTTTAAATATAATCTTTTTAAGCAGATAGAATAATGCAAAGAAAGAGCCTTTTTCTGAAATATCCTTCCCTGCAGTTATATTAAAATACTCCTAAAGAAAATGAAGACTTTAGAATTTCTAAGAGTCAGTAATTTTAATAAACAGCTCTTGGGTTTTTCTTTTCAAAGAATCACTGTTTCAGTGATACATTTTTTCCATCAGCACTGTAAATAATATATCAGCCTACAGTAGTGGTTTCCAACCTTTCTTTGGAGGGGATGCACTACTCATTTTAGTAAATAATTCTCTATGAGCATGTTTCTGCAATGCAGCATTAGAAAGAGTAGAGGGGACAACAGTGGAAGACAAGAGAGCAACATCTATGAAACATCATTTGAAAGGTCAGACACTGACTGAAAATCTCAATAGAGTTTTCAGGACAAAAAGTATTAAAAAATCAAATAAAACCAAATAGATGTCCAAAGTTTTTCCATAATAAAAGGTTTAATAATAACCATTAAAAAAACAGACCTGTTACTGTTGAGTTGATTCTGCCTATGGCGAGCCCATGTGTTACAGAGTAGGACTGCTTCATAGGGTTTTCTTGGCGGTAGTCTTTATGGAAGCAGATCGCCAGGCCTTTCTTCTGCAGCACCACTGAGTGGGTTCAAACTGCTAACCTTTAGGTTAGTAGTCATGCACAGTTTGCACCACCCAGGGGCATTAACCATCAATAACAGTATTTTGAGCTTGGGAGCCTGAAAGGATGGTGCAGTACAAAGACTGACAGCAAGTGAAGGAGGGGATGCCATTCGAGGGGCACCTGATTTAGGAAGTGTTATGAGTTATTACTATCTGCTTGTGAAAAGGCAGCCCCTGCCACAGCTGAGAGATGAGGAGTTCTTCAGGAGCTACAGGCACCTGACCCTTGGCAAACACAATGAGTTGAATGAATATCTCTGTGGCCTAGCGGGAGGCGGAAAGTACCCCCAAGGATGAGTTTAGCAGGAATTTCAGACAACAAGAATGCAAAAAGAAACACTGAATCATTTTGCCCAGGGTTTATTCAACCAGTCTTGCCAACAAGCAATGCTTACTTCTCCCATGAGCTCCGCGTGGACCTTGGACACACCATAGATGGTCCTGGGTCTCTGAATACAGAGATCGGGGGTTGGGTTCCGGGGAGAAGTAGGTCCAAAGGCTCCAATTGTGCTAGGCACAAACAATCGCAAATTGTGTTCTACTGCAACATCCAGAACATGATGCAGTCCTGAAATGAACAGACATTATCATAACCTGAAAAATCTTTTCTTACCAGAGAACTAGAAAAGTTGGCCAATAGATCGTATTGGACAACATCCAGACGCTTACTATTCACAGCTCTCGCCAAAGATGCATTTGCTTCTCCGGCGGCACTGAGCAAAGCGCTATAATGAAACAACCAGGTGATTCGGTTGTTTACCACTATCTCGCGAAGATTCTTGTAATCCAGAATATCGGAATAAATGAATGGGCCTATGAAGAGCACAATATTGAACCACAGAAATGAAAAAGTTTGGAGTTTGAAAGCTAAATGGACCTTTCCCCCTCTTTAACTTGTAAATTCCTAACATCAGTTTGAAACCAAAACCACTTGGACACTTGGCAGCACGTTTCCTTAAAGAAGAGTAACACACCACAGCTACTGTATAGTTAGTAATGTTGCTGTTGTCGGGTGCCGTCGAGTCAATTCTGACTCATAATGACTCCATGTGACAGAGTAGAACTGCCCTATAGGGTTTTCTTGGCTGTAATCTTTACAGGAGATCACCAGGTCTTTCTCCTGCAGAGCCACTAGGTGGGTTCAAAACACCAAGCTTTCTGTTAGCAGCCAGGCACCTAACCATTGCACCACTTAGGGCTCCTTATAGTTAGTAATAGCTAACATTTATATAGTACTTAACCATGCCAGGCACGGTTCTAAGACTTTATGTGTATTTAACTGTCACACAGCCTTTAAGATAGATCCATTTTACTGATGAGGAAACTGAGGCACAGGGATGTTAAGTAATTCACCAAGACCAAACAGAGAGCAAGTGGAAGAACTGAAATCACAGCCCAGGCAGCCGCAGCCAGAGCCAGCCCCAGAGTCAGTGCTATTAATGCCAACATTAAAAACCCCTCGGAGCACAGTTACGAATCAACTGGATGATAACTGGTATATATACAGAGGTATTTAATTCTACTTAAAAGTTACATATTAGAGAAATCAAGTTAAACACACACACACACACACACATCCCTTGATATAGAAGAACCATAAAACATACCCAGTTACATTAGATGTGAGCTAATTTTGTCACATAGCAATTTTCCCCATAGAAAGTAGCAAAGGCTTACAATGAACAAGACAAAACTAGGAGATATTATAAAAATGTTTTTGAGGCCACAGAAAACTTGACTATAGAAGTTTGAGATTTTTTGTGTGTTTAATAGCAATTCTACATTGAAATTGTTGTTGTTATTAGGTGCTGTCAAGTTGATTTTGACTCATAGTGACCCTATGTGACAGAGTAGAACTGCCCCATAGGGTTTTCCTGGCTGTTATATTTATGGGAGGAGATCACCAGGTCTTTTTCCCGTGGAGCTGCTGGGTGGGTTTGAACTGCCAACCTTTCAGTTAGCAGCCAAATGCTTAATTGTTTGTGCCACCAGAGCTCCTTTTACATTGAAATACAAGGCTCAAATATCTCTAAATGCTTAAAGATCCTTTTCCTCATTATAGAAGCCCTTGATTTTTATTTTTTCTCTGAGCCAATAAGTTAACTAAAAACTCAAAAGGACAAGAATCAAATTTTTGGACATTATTCTAAAATTTGACTTCAGGTTCAAAAGAATGTTCTTGTGTCAGTAGTATTACTGTAGAGATTTTACAGAACTGAAAAGGGCAAAAATAAGCAACACAGCTGGACCTCAATAATTTCTCTTTAATTCACAAACCTGATCATAAGCTGTTGCACACACTGATTCCATGAACAGCCTTTCTAAGTGCATTCTGAAAATTAAAAATAAAAGCAATGCATATTGATCTCCTACCACTATGGAAGATGTGGTTGGGGGGTTTCCTTATATCAGACAAGATCACATTGTCCTTTCCAAATCGTTTCCTAAAGAAAAAATCAAAACACACCAGTTGGCAACATTTAGGATATAACTGGTCCTATGAAAACAATCATTTAAATAGGAATTATTAATTTCCTATCAGTCTCCAAATCTCTCCTTTTCATACCTCTCCTCCAACCTTCTCTGTCTTCCCCAGCACGTACACCTTTAGTTCTTGCCACTCTCAAGCCTTTCATTCTCTACCCACGTCCCTGTCTTCTATTTCTATTCTCACCCTATTTGTCACCCCTATATTTGTCACCAGTTTCTTCCCATTACTTCTAGAGTTTTTACCTCTCTTTCCTCATTTTTCTCTTTCCTTTCTCTTCTTACCCTTTTACCCTTTCATCAAACTCTCTCTAAATCTCACACTGTTCCTTTCCAATTTCTACATGCACTTTCCTCTACTTGCAAACAAAAACTACACAAGGATTCATTTCAATACATGTTTCACTTTACCTAAGTTAGAAAAGAGACAGAGCAAATAACTAGGATGGGAGACATAAAATCAAGGACCTGCGACATGTCTTTGACATAAGAAGACAAAAATGAAATGTATTTTTAAAAGCCATTTAGATACGACATCTTAAAAATAGTAAGGGACAAGGAGAGAGAGAAGATATGGTTAAAAGAGGCCAAAGACAAGCTTCACATACTTAAAACTTGGATTTTTAATTTCCAAGTTTAGAGCTCTTACCTCAAAAAGTTAGCAAGCCCCACTCCAAGCTGGCCAAGACCCCCTAAGTGAAGAAGAAAAAAGTGAAACTTTAATCCAAATCTTAACCAATTTTAATTATTCCCAGAATGTAATAATTGAATTAGGCTATTTTTCATTCTTAGCTAGTTAGGTAAAATCCTAGGTTGACCTGATGTACTTACTGCTTCCTCTTACACTTCCAAGCAACATATCACGGCACTTAGAACATTAAATTACCTCCTTCAAGCTAGTACAGAAGTCAATACAGACTTCAGAGACAAGACTGTCTCCAGGATGGAGGGGCAGAGAAGAAGAGGGTAAGCAAGGACACTGGAAGAGAAAATCGCTCTTTGGGTCAGAATTCACATACAGCCTTCAGTATTCTGAAGCATTGTCTGTCTACTACAGATGCCAAAACATTCAACGCCAAAAAATGGATTGATATTAATGGATTGAACTGTGTCCCCTAAAAAGATGTTGCTGTACTAACCCCTGTACCCATAAATATGACCCTGTTCAGAAATAGGGGTTTTCTTTTGTTATATTAATGAGGCCGTGCCGGATTAGAGTCGGTCTTAAACCTAATCACTTCTGGGTAGTATCTTACAAAAAGGAAAACAGATGCAGATAGACACACACACAGGGGGAATAGACCATTTGAGGAACAGTCTATAAGCCAAAGAACACCAAAGATTGCTGTCAGCTACTAGAAACTGAAAAAGACAAAGAAGGACCTTCCCCTATAGTCATGTCTTGAATTGAGACTTCTAGCCTCTGGAACTGTGAGGAAATAAATTTCTGTTCTTTAAAGCCATTCACTTGTGATGTTTTTGTTGAGGCAGTAAGGAAAAAAAAAATGAAACCCATCACCATCGAGTCGATTCCAACTCATAGCGACTCTATAAGGACAAAGTAGAACTGCTCCACAGGGTTTCCATGGCTGTAATCTTTACAGAAGCAGACTGCCACATCTTTCTCCTGTCGAGCTGCTGGTGAGCTTGAACGATGGACCTTTCAATTGGCAGCCAAGCACTTAACCACTGCACTACCAGGGCTCCTTCGTTAGGGCAGTACCAGGTAACTATCCAGAAACCCACCCTCCATTAGAACGGGACTGGGACATGAAAAGAGAGAGAGGGTGGGACAAACCAAGAAGCCATTTGAAAAAAGAGCAGGTAACTGAACAGACAAGGAATCACTAAAAAAATTAAAAATAAATATTATAGCTCTCCAATTTGGAGGCTGAACAATGCCACTGACAGAAATGGGAGAGCTAGGGAGCCAACAGCACACTTGGAAAGAGTACAACAGTCAGTTTCATTTAGGAACAATTGACTGAGGCAGGAAGATACAGAAAGTGGGATTACCTGTAGGTATTTGTTAACATAGGACTAAAACAAAAACCACCAAAACTAGTATTTAATTCTGGAAGATGCTCCATTAGTGGAGGTCGCAAGAGAATAAAACACACATACACACAGACAACAATGTGAGTAAATGAGAGCGGAAAATGACTAACCTTGAAAACCATTTACAGTGAGAGACGAGAAGGAGGCAGTGAAACACAAAGAAACTGTGAGGAAAGTAAGAAGGATAATGATGTGTAACAAGGGAAGAAAATCTGGTGAGTAGGAAGAGGAAAATAAAACGTGTCAGTCAACTCAGAGGCCAACTTGGGTATGCTGGAGTAATTATCGAGTGCTAGAGTGAGGCCTGGAGGAAGGAGGGTACAGAACCAGGAGTTATGTGTAAGCAAGGTGAGGAGTATTGAGGAGTGAGTCTGTGATGATGAGACAGGTGGTGGCGAGTCCCGCTGGACAGGCAGAAACTCATCTCAGACCTCCAACACACAAGCCTGCAGTAAATGTTCACAATGAATGACACTGAAGTTAGGTTGAGGAATTTGGCCAAGAAAAGATCTGTCTGACTCTAGAATCAATGTTCTAGTCCCTTCACACTACCTGTCCATGAACTGTCAACTCCCCAGGCCTATCCTACCATGGAAGGGGAGCCTAGTTCCAAAGCAATTTTTTGGTCCTCAGGTTTCCAGGTCCTTTCAGACAATAAAAAATTATGGTAAGGAAACGAAGCGCTGACAATAGTGATTAAATAAGGATTTTGGATTTGTAATATTTTGGAGAAAACAAACACTGGAAAAGTTTTTCTTTCTGATTAATAAATGTTAATTGTTCTAATTTAAAAAAATGTATATTATTAAATACCTCATTCTGCTATCTTTTTCATAGTTTATAAATACACAATCTGGATGTAATCTAGTCAAACACATTTTTCCTGAATTATATATAACAGTGACAAGCATTATAAGGAGGGTCTGATGGCATATGAGACATTCCAAAAAGAATGCACAGTCACACATAACCAGTACAGAAAATAAGAATCATGCCACAAATACGGAAAAAGGAAAAAACCCACCTGTGATTAAGACACGTGGATGGTCTGTCTCAGAGAAAGAAATAGAGCAGAACTTGGCATCTGCTGGGATTTGCCAAAGGGAGAAGCCCAGAAACCTGAGAGGTACCACACACGTCCGACAGCCACATACTGGGTTCGGCAACATCCAGCCAACCTGACTCAGAGTCCTAATAATTGGCATTTTCTTTCAAATACTCTGTAAATAAAAAAAGGAGCAGAATGGAGTTTAAGTCAATGGGAGTGAAACAACTAGAACAGAAATAATGAGAATGTTGACACATGTGAAGAATGTAACCAATATCACTGATTATTATGTCTTGAATCTGTTGAATAGGAGAGGGTTTTGCTGTGTATATTCTCAACAAGAATTAAATATTATTTTAAAAAATTAAATTAAAAAAAAGGAGCAGTTACATAGCTGTTTATTCTTCTAGCCCCTCAAAAACCAAACTCTTCCACAAAAATTGATACTGCACTAAGATTGTTAGCTAATGAGCAAAGCCATATTTTTGGATCCATGAACCAAAGTAAAGAGACTGCTGAGTATGTCAAGAGAAAGCTAGTCAAGTGCCTACCATGAGCCAGGCACTGTGATAGAGAAAGGGATAAAATGTTGCTCACATAAAGTCCATGCAAACAAAGGCCAAACAGAAATTTAGAATTGAAATCAAATAGTGCTGACATACCAACTGAGATTTAACATAACAACAAAGATCAGTCTGTACAGACAGCCATAATCACTACAAGCACCAAGATTTTAAATCTTGACGATAACTGTTATCAATTTGTCCACACACCATCTGAGGGTGTAAGTAGGTCTCAGATTAAATAACACACGGCTCTGTGCCCAATGCAAATGGCTGTCACAGGACTGGGGACTGTCCTACCATGTATGCTACATATGTGTTGTAAAATGAAAAATGTAGAAATATTTCATTTACTTGGCCTCTGAGGTGTTGCTGAGATAATGGGTGATTGGCAGCCCTGTGGGCTACACCCTGATCTGGCTGGTATTTCATCAACCCTTTGCCATGGAGTCAATTCAGATTCATAGCGACCCTGTAGGGCAGAGTAGAACTGCCCCATAGGGTTTCCAAGGCTGTTCTCTTTACAGAAGTAGACTACCACATCCTTCTTCCTTGGAGCAGCTGGTGAGTTTAAATTGCCTACCTTCTGGCTGGCAGCCGAGTGCTTTAACCACTGTGCCACCAGAATGCCTTGTGCTAACACTCAGATTGTTTATAGTATGAGCCACACTGGAAAGCAGATGGTTAAGATAAAAAGGCCACGAGCAGAATTTAGTAAGTTGTGAATAATTTTTATTTTATTGTCATCTCTCTAGGAAGGATCCTGTATTCAATGTTAATTCATTTTCACAATTTCTTCAAAGATTACACATATTTAAGCCTAGCTTATCTTTTAGGTCCCTGGGTAGTACAAATAGTTTGCATTTGACTACTAACCTAAAGGTTGATGGTTCAAACCTACTCAGTGGTGCTTCAGAAGAAAGGCCTGGCAATCTGCTTCTATAAAGATTACAGCCAAGAAAACCCTATGAGCAATTCTACTTTGTAACACATGTAGTCACCATGAGTTCGAGTTGGCAACAGGTTTGGTTTGGTTTCAGCTCCTCTTGGTTATCAGCTTTACTACTGATTTACCATGAAATCAATTCTGCCATCCAGAGGTCAAGAAGGTCCAATGACATATGGCTGGAGACCAGACACATATATAGGACTTCTTCCCCATTCTGCAGCCAACACCCAGGCAAGCATCTCACAAAAAGTAAATCAGAGACACCCAGCTTGCTTTGCTGATTCTGACACAAACTTCCCCACTCTCCCTAAAGACAGGCCCTACCACACTACACAGCCCTGTGGCCAGTCCTGGGTGATTACCTTCTCCTTCTCATCAATTTTAAGATTCTTGTAACCCAACTGGTAGATTAACCTTCAAAGCCAATTCTCATGCCTCACCCACCTCACAAAGAGATAACAGATTTAAGATCTCAACGAAGTTATATTTTGCATTATAAAAGGAGAAAAAGTGAACAGGCCCCAGATAAGGCATTTCCAGTTAAAAATCTGAACTTCCTTGTACTTAACTCAGTGCCTTGAGTAAACAACAGTATCTCTAAGTTAAAATGCCAGAGGTACATTCCCTAATCACATCAAAGCCCAAATTAGAGAAAACAAAAGAAAATACAGGCCTCTAAAAATGTGTGTTTTAACACCCTTTATGGGTCATGGGGTTTTTATTCTCTACTACACCAAAATAAGGCAGGTGGAGCCCCTGGGGCCTCTGCTGATCAATGGTTCCGCCCACCAGGTGCACTGTCACCACTCCCAGCCCAGTCCCCAGCACCAGAGGCAGTACTACAAAGCACCAGGGGCATTGGCATAGTGGTTAAGAGCTACAGCTGTTAACCAAAATGTCAGCAGTTCAAATCTACCAGGTGCTCCTTGGAGACCCTATGAGGCAGTTCTACTCTGTCCTATAGGGTTGCTATGAGTCGGAATTGACTTGATGGCAATGGGTTTGGTTTTTTTTTTTTTGGTTTAACATTTCAAAACAAGCCAGTAGAAGAGAATCCTCCTGTCAGTGTCTTTCTGGCTTCACTATGCCAGGCCAGGGTTGGAAGGGAGATGTACAGGATGGGTCACGTTACAGGAAAAGCCTGAGCTTCTACACCAGCATCCCTCAGACAACTCCTCTGGGAAAATCATCCTTTTGGCCACTGTTGGCCCCTTGAGACCAGGGAAGAACTTTTATTCTTACAGTCATCTATTTCAATAAGTTCAAGGGAATATTGAGGATCAAGCCAAGAAATGACTAGATTTACCAGAACATTTGAAACTCATAGACAATTCCCAAAAGCAACATAATAAATGGCCAGTAGCTAAAAAATTTTTGTTTTGTTTTTTCTTTTTTCAGATTGAAGATACTAGTGTAAGGGAAAAGTCAAACCCTGATGATACAAAATAGGTACAACTCTACTCATCTTCTCTTTCCCCCACAAGGAATAGCATGAAGTAGGCACCCAGCAAATACTTAATTGAATATAAAGTGTTTTAGTTTAACAATGTAGGTAATTCATAATTGAGTTTGTTCTTCTTATTCCCCTGTCATGAACAGCTAACATTTGATGTGTTTAGGCGGTCGGCTGCTAACCGAAAGGTCGGCAGTTTAAATCCGCCAGCCGCCCCTGGGAAATCCTATGGGGCAGTTCTTCTCTGTCCTATAGGGTCACTATGAGTCAGAATCGACTCAACAGCAACAGGTTTGGTTTTTGTTTTTTTGTTTTTTTTTTTTTTTTTGGATAAATCACAAATGGCTGAGTGCTTTACTGTGCTACCACATTTAACCCTGGCAGCCACAATCCCTACAGAGCCCTCCACCAAGCAGGACTATAGCCTCTATTACTAAATTGCTTTGACTAACAATGCATGGATATTTAAAAAAAAAAAAAAAAAAGGCAAAAAAAACTCCAACTATCTACAGCTTGTAGCTTTTCCATTTCAAGATTATCATCTTGCTACTGCCAAATCAAATGTAATACTCTTAAGTCAGCAGTTCTCAGACTTTTAGTCTCAGGACTCCTTTCTTAAAAATTGAGGACTCCAAAGAGCTTTGTTTATGTGGGTTATATCTATCAATATCTACTTTATTATAAATCAAAACTGAGATATATTATTTATAACATATTATTAATTCATTTAAAAACAAAGGACATGTTAACATAAACATATTTTATGAGCATAACTATATTTTCCATAACAATATTCAATGAGAAGAATGCCATTGTTTAACATTTTGTATATCTCTTTGACATCTGCCTTAATAGACAACAGCTGAGATCTCATATCTGTTTCTGCAATCTATCAGTTTGTTGCTGCTTTGAATCATATGAAGAAAAACCAAAGTCACACAGAGAAGTGGTGGGAAGAAGGAAGATATTTTAAGTCTTCTCAGGTAGCTCTGGATATTCACCTACTCCAACACTCAGCAACGGTAGTTCCTCAAAGGTGAGTTGCAGTATAGAATCTGAACCCATATCAAGGAACCTTTTGTACCCTGTTAGATTAAAACCCACTGGTCTATCTTGTGCTTTGAATACCTCTTTTACCCCTGCATGATTTTACAACTTTATGCGTTGGTCTTTCGGAAAATATTGGTTCAGTGAGTTATGCAGATCTTCCGAATATTAATACGCTTCACTATACAACATCAAAAAGTCATATTGATTAATATCAACACTGACCTCAGCAGAAAATTTCTAAGTATTAGGAAGCTGTCAAGCTCACAGTGACAGATACAACTGGCAACAAATACCATTAGTTATTTACTTGAAGTGATGGACTCCTCTTGTTCATTTTTGAGAAAATGTCTGGTAAATACCCAAGTATGAATACCCAGTTTGTCTAGCAGTCATCCTTTCAAGTAAAAATGGTGTTTCATTAAAAAAGTGACCATTTCAGCTCATAACTCAAACATTCACCCAAGTGCTCTACCTGAAGACAGCCATCATACTTCAATATGCAGCAGAAGGGCTTTACGGGCACTCCCATTCTCCACACAGCACACTAAAAAGATGTGTACTCATGGGTCAAGATTTCGTAAAATTAACCATCAAGGACATTGTTAAATAAAGCTTGCTTTTTTTTTTAAACTGTGAGTGTATGGCAATGACTACTAGTAGAGTTAGGTACCACTGCCTTGATTTGTACGAAGGCACCAACAGTTCTACCCTGCATTGCTTTTGTATCATCATTGCAAATCCAGCACAACTGTTTCAGAATAAACCATGAAATTTGAAAAAAAAAAAAAAATTATTCAACACTTTGAATATTTTGGAGCCACTTGTGTTTGCTGCCAAGCATTCACTAAAATAAGATATTCTTCAGTGGTTGGTTTGGTGCAAATACCAGACCAATACAAGTAAAATGACGAGTCCAACCATGACTGTGTTTCCATTTGTAGGGAAAACTATACTTCTACAATCAGGATACTAACTTAGTCTTCATGTTTGCAGCTAAATTTTCAATTCAAGAAGTTACTGTATCATTGCAAAGTGCAGTACCATGATTTCTTTCAATACTTTTTCATCTGAACAAGCCTTTACTGTGTGTTTCTGTAGTCAATGCAGTTTGATAACATCCTGTTAGATGCATCAGTAGCTAT